AAAGAGGGATGATGGAGGAGGAGAGCGGGACAATGAAGGAGAAAAGGGGGATAATGGAGGAGGAAAGAGGGATGACAGAGGAAGAAAGAGGGATGATGGAGGCAGAAAGATGGACAACAGAGGAGGAACTACTGAAGAGGAAAGAAGGATGATGGAGTAGCAAAGAGGGACAACGGAAAGGGAAAGCAGGTCAATGGAGTAGGAAAGAGAGACAACAGAGGAGAAAAGAGAGACAATGAAGGAGGAAAGAGGGATGATGGAGGAGGAAAGAGGGACGATGGAGGAGGAAAGAAGGACAATGGTGGAGGAAAGAGGGATAACAGAGATGGATAAAGGGACAATGGAGAAGGAAAGAGGGATGTCAGAAGAGGAAAGAGGGACAACGAGGAGGAAAGAGGGATGATGGAGGAGGAAAGAGGGACAATAGAGGAGGAAAGAGGGATGATGAAAAAGGAACAAGGGACAATGGAGGAGGAAAGAGGAACAATGGAGGAGGAAAGGGGGGCAACAGAAGAGGAAAGAGGGATGATGGAGGAAGAAAGTGGTGATGGAGGAGGAAAGTTGGACAGTGGAGGAGGAAAATGGGATGATGGAGGAGGAAAGATGGACAATGGAGGAGGAAAGAGGGACAACAGAGGAAAAAAAGAAGGATGATGGAGGAGGAAAGAGGGACAACAGAGGAGGAAAAAGGGACTACTGAAGAGGAAAGAAGGATGATGGAGCAGCAAAGAGGGACAATGGAAAGGGAAAGCAGGTCAATGGAGTAGGAAACAGGGACAACAGAGGAGAAAAGATGGACAACGGAGGAGGAAAGCAGGTCAATGGAGGAGGAAAGAGGGACAACAGAGATAGAAAAAGGGGCAATGGAGGAGGAAAGAGGGACAACGAAGAAGGCAAGGGGGGCAACAGAGGAGGAAAGAAGGACAACAAGAGAGGAAAGAGGGCCAACGGGAGAGGAAAGAGGGACAACGAAGGAGGAGAGAGGGACAGTGGAGAAGGGAAGGAGTTTTGGTTCCAGATGAGGAAGTTTCCTACAAAATGCTGAACAGTCGGGAGCTCGGAGTGTATTCAGTGTTACAATGCAGTCATATTTGTGTCCGTCACATAATTAGTACCGATGGCTGGAATTTAATGATAGAATTCCAACAAAATCTCTCAAGACACATTTTGCCCAGAGGGGTCCACTAAACGAGACTTTGAACCGGAGACAAAAGAGTGTTCATTAAACGCGGTCCTTTTCTGGTTGTCAGTTGCTCGCTGTTTCCTGGCACTGTCACCGGCAATATTGGCACGGACGATTAATCTTCATCATTTTTTCAGCGTAGTCTTTAAATGAGCGAGTTTACCAGAGACGGCCGAGCAATTCGGTTGGCAGGATCCTAGCTCATTTATTTCACGTACTGCAATACGGTTTAGTGGCGGGAAGAGAAATTTAAAGGAGAACTAAACCAAATTTCTAACAAACTCTTAACTCCCCCAAAAAATTTTGTTCCATTTTAACAACCCCTCCCCCCCCCCTAAACAGAGTTTCGATTTCTTTTTTTTTTTTTTTACCACCCCACCCCATGCCACCAGGCCAGAATGATGCGTCCATGGTCCAGAAGCCTTCTGGGTTGCTTACATCACCCAGAAGGCTGCAGGATTGGCACAGAGGGCATCCAGTAACGGGCTGGAGGCAAACTAAAGAAGACCAAATGGGACCTTGTGTTGGTCACCCGGACATCGGATCACACGGGACAACATGGGATTCACTGAGCGTGTGAGTATGTGTTTTGAAGAGTACCCAGGAACACTGATAAGAAGATAAAAAAGAAGGGGGTGGAGAGTCGAGTGACACCTTAATGTGATTTCAAACATTTTTTCAATCGTTTTAAATCTGTAGTTTTCATGAAACAAATACTTGGTGATCCTGCCACAATCGTCCTTGTTTCGACATTTCCTGTTATCCTCTTCAACACCAGAAGATTTACCCTCCTTCATGACCAGGCCATTTTCTGTGCTACTTTAAGTGACAATTGCGCAGTCATGCAACGCTGCACCCAAATAACATTTACAGTTGTGTTCAAAATAATAGCAGTGTGATGAAAAAAGTGAATAAAGCTGAAAATCCTTCTAATCCTTTTATTTCCATCCACACAAATGCATTGGGAACACGACACATTCTATTCCAAATCACAACATGAAGAAAAATACATCAAATTTGTGTTGTTCCTCTAAAAAAATGGAAGAAAAGTGAATATTAGACGGTTCAAAAAAATCGCAGTGTTTGTATTCTTCTTTACAAACTCCAACATTCACTATATAAACTGAGAAATGTTTGAAGATTTTGCTTTCCTTTGAATGACTTCATGAATATTTGGTTGTAGTCGCACTGTTTCTGAGAACTGCTGTACATCTGTGTTGCATGGAGTCCCCCAACTTCTGGCCCCTGTGATCAGGTATTCCAGCCCAGGATGATTGGACCACATTCCACAGTTCTTCTCCATTTCTTGGTTTTGCCTCAGAAACGGCATTTTTGATGTCACCCCACAAGTTTTCTATTGGATGAAGATCCGGGGATTGGGCTGGCCACTCCATAACGTCCATCTTGTTGGTCTGGAACCAAGATGTTGCACGTTTACTGGTGTGTTTGGGGTCGTTGTCTTGTTGGAACACCCATTTCAAGGGCATTTCCTCTTCAGCATAAGGCAGCATGACCTCTTCAAGTATTCTGATGTATTCAAACTGATCCATGATCCCTGGTATGCGATAAATAGGCCCAACACCGTAGTATGACAAACATCCCCATATCATGATGCTTGCACCACCATGCTTCACGGTCTTCACAGTGTACTGTGGCTTGAATTCAGTGTTTGGAGGTCGTCTGACAAACTGTCTCCGCCCACTAGACCCAAAAAGAACAATCTTACTTCCATCAGTCCACAAAATGTTGCGCCATTTCTCTTTAGGCCGGTCAATGTGCTCTTTGGCAGATTGTAACCTCTTCAGCACACGTCTTTTTCCCAACAGTGGGACTTTGCGGGGACTTCTTGCAGATAGCTTGGCTTCACATCGGCGTCTTCTAATTGTAACAGTCCTCACAGGGAACGTCACACCTTCTTTCATCTTCCTGGAGCTGATTGTTGGCTGAGTCCGCCCCATTTTGGCTATTCTTCTATCCATTCCAATGGTAGTTTTTCGCTTTCTTCCTCGTCTTTCAGGTTTTGGTCGCCATTTTAAAGCATTTGCCATCATTTTAGCTGAGCAGCCGATCATTTTCTGCACTTCTTTATATGTTTTCCCCTCCAATCAACTTTTTAATCAAGGTGCGCTGTTCTTCTGAACAATGTCTGGAACGACCCATTTTCCTCAGAATTTCAGAGAGAAATGCACTGTAACCAGCATGTCCAACATTTGCTGCCTTCCTTCCTTAAATAAGGGCAATCATTGCCACCTGTTTATCAAAGAATGAATGACCTCACTAATAGAACTCCACACAGCTATTATTTTGAACACGCCCCTTTCAATGAGTGATTCAATGACACAGAATCAGCAGCATGCATGTCATGACTGTTGGGTCTGTTGGATTTCTATGACTCTACTACACCTGCTAGGAAATTATTTGCCATGTAGGAATATCATTTCCACCAAAACAGGGATTGATCCGGTTAGTGATGTCTGACTGCTAGTATTTTCAACACAACTGTATATACAAAAAATATAAGTCACCTGAAAAATGCCACCCTAGGCAAATGCCTTGTTTACCTTGTGGTAAAGACACCCCTGGTGGGCGTTGCTTTGCAGGGGTGAGAAACAGTGAGATAATTATCTATGTACAGAGCTCTGTGTTAATTGTCAACACAGGGCTCTGGGCTGTGATTGGACACCGCCGATTAGCAGATCCTGGCATTGGCCGGGACTTACTAACAGACTCCCGCTGTGAACAGTGTGCATGCCTGTGCCCTAAACCCAGAAGCAGCCTGCGATGTATCAGAACGTCGCACTGCCTACATGTGCCGCTCATCCGCGGTACATTACGAGCGGGCGTTATGGGGTGACAACTGCTTCTCTCTTGTGCTCCTGTGTTGTCACCCTGTCACATGAGACTACAGGGGGCTCTGCCTACCCACGATGGGTCACAATTGTCACTAAAAGGATGGCGGTCCAGAGCTAGTGATGACCTAAAGTTCAGGGCAAACTTTTTTTTGCAGTGTATTGTCCCTTTAAATCCGAATATAATGATATTTTACACTTTCTTCTCTTTGAAGTTTGTTATTTTTTTTTTCCTTTGCTTTGCTTTCCTTTTTTTTTTTTTTCTATGATGTCATCCGGACTCTAATAATTGCACTCAGCTGAGCGGGGAGACTTCAACCTTGGGGAATAGCACAGTCGCAGACGGCTCTGGGCTTTTTTTAGCGATGAGACTTGGAGAGGTTGGGGGGGAAGAAAAAAGAACCAATTATATCTGAAAGTCACACAAGAGGAGACCCTGGAGCAACAAGAAGAATCGCTCGGATCATGACGAATTTACCCGGAATCAAATGTGTATTTAAAATGATTATTATCAACACGTTCTGAGAGCGTTCTCTAATAATACGAGAAGAAACCTTTCAAGAGAACCTGTCACTAGGAAGAATAAAATATCCCGCTAAGAGAACTCGCTGTCAGCCAGCGCCGTGTGATACCTGAACCTTGTCATCGGTTAGAGCAGGACTTCTCAGCTAGGGATCCTCCAGAGGTGGCTAGGGGTTCCTTCACCAATGAGCAATATCCGCCCCTCAGGTTCCCACTGACACCATTGATATTGTTAGCTATCTATAGAGGGGTAATTCTTGCTACTGACCCCCAATGTAAGGGACATTCTTCCCACTGACCCCCACTGTAAGGGACAATCTTCCCACTGACCACCAATGTAAGGGACATTCTTCCCACTGACCCCCAATGTAAGGGACATTCTTCCCACTGACCCCCAATGTAAGGGACATTCTTCCCACTGACCCCCAATGTAAGGGACATTCTTCCCACTGACCACCAATGTAAGGAGCATTCTTCCCACTGACCTCCAATGTAAGGGACATTCTTCCCACTGACCCCCAATGTAAGGGACATTCTTCCCACTGACCCCCAATGTAAGGGACATTCTTCCCACTGATCACCAATGTAAGGGACATTCTTCCCACTGACCCCCACTGTAAGGAACATTCTTCCCACTGATCCCCAATGTAAGGGACATTCCTCCCCCTGACCCCCCAATGTAAGGGACATTCTTCCCACTGACCCCCAATGTAAGGGACATTCTTCCCACTGACCCCCCCAATGTAAGGGACATTCTTCCCACTGATCACCAATGTAAGGGACATTCTTCCCACTGATCACCAATGTAAGGAACATTCTACCCACTGATCACCAATGTAAGGGACATTCTTCCCACTGATCACCAATGTAAGGGACAATCTTCCACTGACCACCAATGTAAGGGACATTCTTCCCACTGACCCCCCAATGTAAAGGACATTCTTCCCACTGACCACCAATGTAAGGGACATTCTTCCCACTGACCCCCAATGTAAGGAACATTCTTCCCACTGACCACCAATGTAAGGGACATTCTTCCCACTGACCCCTAATGTAAGGGACATTCTTCCCACTGACCCCCAATGTAAGGGACATTCTTCTCACTGATCACCAATGTAAGGGACATTCTTCCCACTGACCACCAATATAAGGGACATTCTTCCCACTGACCCCCCATGTAAGGGACATTCATCCCACTGACCCCCAATGTAAGGGACATTCTTCCCACTGATCCCCAATGTAAGGGACATTCTTCCCACTGACCCCCAATGTAAGGAACATTCTTCCACACTGACCCCCAATGTAAGGGACATTCTTCCCACTGACCCCCAATGTAAGGGACATTCTTCCCACTGACTACCAATGTAAGGGACATTCTTCCCACTGACCCCTAATGTAAGGGACATTCTTCCCACTGACCCCCAATGTAAGGGACATTCTTCCCACTGACCCCCAATGTAAGGCACATTCTTCCCACTGACCACCAATGTAAGGGACATTCTTCCCACTGACCCCCAATGTAAGGGACATTCTTCTCACTGATCACCAATGTAAGGGACATTCTTCCACTGACCCCCCAATGTAAGGGACATTCTTCCCACTGACCACCAATGTAAGGGACATTCTTCCCACTGATCACCAATGTAAGGGACATTCTTCCCACTGATCCCCAATGTAAGGGACATTCTTCCCACTGACCACCAATGTAAGGGACATTCTTCCCACTGATCACCAATGTAAGGGACATTCTTCCCACTGATCCCCAATGTAAGGATCATTCTTCCCACTGACCACCAATGTAAGGGACATTCTTCCCACTCATCACCAATGTAAGGGACATTCTTCCCACTGACCCCCAATGTAAGGGACATTCATCCCACTGACCCCCAATGTAAGGGACATTCTTCCCACTGACCCCCAATGTAAGGGACATTCATCCCACTGACCCCCAATGTAAGGGACATTCATCCCACTGACCACCAATGTAAGGGACATTCTTCCCACTGATTACCAATGTAAGGGACATTCTTCCCACCGACCCCCAATGTAAGGGACATTCTTCCCACTGACCCCCAATGTAAGGGACATTCTTCCCACTGACCCCCAATGTAAGGGACATTCTTCCCACTGACCCCCAATGTAAGGGACATTCTTCCCACTGACCCCCAATGTAAGGGACATTCTTCTCACTGATCACCAATGTAAGGGACATTCTTCCCACTGACCCCGAATGTAAGGGACATTCTTCCCACTGACCCCCAATGTAAGGGACATTCTTCCCACTGACCCCAATGTAAGGGACATTCTTCTCACTGATCACCAATGTAAGGGACATTCTTCCCACTGACCACCAATGTAAGGGACATTCTTCCCACTGACCCCCAATGTAAGGGACATTCATCCCACTGACCCCCAATGTAAGGGACATTCATCCCACTGACCCCCAATGTAAGGGACATTCATCCCACTGACCCCCAATGTAAGGGACATTCATCCCACTGACCCCCAATGTAAGGGACATTCATCTCACTGACCCCCAATGTAAGGGACATTCATCCCACTGACCCCCAATGTAAGGGACATTCTTCCCACTGATCCCCAATGTAAGGGACATTCTTCCCACTGATCACCAATGTAAGGGACATTCTTCCCACTGACCCCCAATGTAAGGGACGTTATTCCCACTGATCACCAATGTAAGGGATATTCTTCCCACTGACCTCCAATGTAAGGGACATTCTTCCCACTGACCCCCAATGTAAGGAACATTCTTCCCACTGACCCCCAATGTAAGGAACATTCTTCCCACTGACCACCAATGTAAGGGACATTCTTCCCACTGACCCCTAATGTAAGGGACATTCTTCCCACTGACCCCCAATGTAAGGGACATTCTTCCCACTGACCCCCAATGTAAGGGACATTCTTCCCACTGACCCCCCAATGTAAGGGACATTCTTCCCACTGATCACCAATGTCAGGGACGTTCTTCACACTGACCCCCAATGTAAGGGACATTCTTCCCACTCATCACCAATGTAAGGGACATTCTTCCCACTGATCACCAATGTAAGGGACATTCTTCCCACTGATCCCCAATGTAAGGGACATTCTTCCCACTGTCCCCCAATGTAAGGGACATTCTTCCCACTGACCCCCAATGTAAGGGACATTCTTCCCACTGATCACCAATGTAAGGGACATTCTTCCCACTGACCCCCAATGTAAGGGACATTCTTCCCACTGACCCCGAATGTAAGGGACATCCTTCCCACTGACCACCAATGTAAGGGACATCCTTTCCACTGACCATCACACCAATGTATCATGAGCTGTAGATACAGTCATTTTTAGCAGGGGTTCCCCAAGACCAAAAAGTAAATTCAAGGGTTCCTCTGTGTTTAAAAGGTTGAGAAAGGCCGTGTTAGAGGAAAATTAAAGTTCTTCCTGATTATGGTTGGGCTTGTTGTTCGAGTCGAACATCGGCCATGTTGGACAAACACACAAACGCTAAGCTGTTCGCCCGCTGTGCCCCACAATGCACTGTGCTCTGATTGGCCAAAGCAATGCACCTGACCACATGGCCAGCTGCCGCCAGATCAGTTCCCGGGATTCCCAATGAGCCAGGTAAGCCCGGGAGCCACCAGAAAGCGGCGGGAGGAGGGGGAGGGGCACAGCTTCTAAAGATAATCCAGTAACTAATCAGGTTTGGCGCGGGTGGGGGGGGGTGGGTGCATAGGTTTGGGGGGGGGGCACAGATTTTTTGTGTTGCCTAGGGCAGCAAAAAACCTAAATGAACCACTGCTGCGTGCAAATGCTCGCTTCAAGCCCAAGCCCATTGCCTTGCCATATGCTCACCGCCGCTTAAACCCTCCAACGCGATGCGCACTCCTCTGCGTGGACCACGTCACAGACTCGGCAGCACAAAGTTTTCAGCCCGGGGACATTTTTTTTTCTGACTTCACATTGAGACATAGCACACTGCTTAACAGCTGGTCCTAAAATATGATAATGAGGTCTTAGTTTTGCACCATTGGCCTAAACCTAATTATAACATCTGTTACAATCTTGAGATTCTGCACTGTAGTCGAACGCGTGTAACATTTGCATTTAATTGCATCATCAGACGTGCTTAATAATGAGTAATGGGGCTCTTCAGGGACACGCCTCGGACCGAATCACGGTCCATGAATGAAGTATGGAGGAAAGCAGAGACAGCTGGTGAAAACGGAGGACAATTAAACACAGAAGAAGCTTCATAATAGAGAGATAAACAAATGTAAACTTATCGAACGGATGAGCGGGGGGGATCGTTCCCGAAAACATTGCGAGGAGCGGCGAGAGATTGAACCTGATTGATCCCTCTGGCCTACTGTCCATACATGACCACCGCTCTAGGGGATGCATGGCTTGTGTGCAGTAACATGCGAGATGGCCATGCGGTTATGGCTGTAGGATTATTATCTTGACATCAATTATGACCAAAGCTGTTTATACACAGGACACGTATGTTCTTCCAGTGTTCATGCAGGTTTCCTCCTATATCAACGTGGAGAAAAGAAACTGCCCCCAAAGAAACAGAAGATCTGTACTCCAGTACACACAGCTCCCACCCCAGTATCCATGTCCCCAGTGAGATCTGTACTCCAGTACAGACAGCTCCCTCCCCAGTATCCATGCCCCCAGTGAGAACTGGACTACAGAACAACAGATCACTCCCCAGTATCCTTGTCCCCAATGATATCTGTTCTCCAGTACACATAGCATCCACCCCAGTATTCATGTCCTCAGTGAGATCTGTATTCCAGTACACATATCTTCCACCCCCGTATCCATGTCCCCAGTGAGATCTGTACTCCAGTACACACAGCTCCCTCCCCCAGTATCCATGTCACCAGTGAGATCTGTACTCCAGTACACATAGCTCCCTCCCCAGTATCCATGTCCCCAGTGAGATCTGTACTCCAGTACACACAGCTCCCTCCCCAGTATCCATGTCCCCAGTGAGATCTGTACTCCAGTACACATAGTGCCCTTCGCAGTATCCATGTCCCCAGTGAGATCTGTACTCCAGTACACATAGTGCCCTTCCCAGTATCCATGTCACCAGTGAGATCTGTACTCCAGTACACATAGTGCCCTTCCCAGTATCCATGTCTCCAGTGGGATCTGTACTCCAGTACACATAGCTCCCTCCCCAGTATCCATGCCCGCAGTGAGATCTGTACTCCAGTACACACAGCTCCCTCCCCAGTATCCATGTTCCCAGTGAGATCTGTACTCCAGTACACACAGCTTACTCTCCAGTATCCATGCCCCCAGTAAGATCTGTACTCCAGTACACACAGCTTCCACCCCAGTATTCATGTCCCCAGTGAGATCTGTACTCCAGTACACACATCTCCCTCCCCAGTATCCATGTCACCAGTGAGATCTGTACTCCAGTACACACTGCTCCCTCCCCGGTATCCATGTCACCAATGAGATCTGTACTCCAGTACACACAGCTCCCACCCCAGTATTCATGTCACCAATGAGATCTGTACTCCAGTACATACAGCTCCCTCCCCAGTATCCATGTCCCCAGTGAGATCTGTACTCCAGTACACACAGCTCCCACCCCAGTATTCATGTCCCCAGTGAGATCTGTATTCCAGTACACATATCTTCCCCCCCGTATCCATGTCACCAATGTGATCTGTACTCCAGTACACACAGCTCCCTCCCCAGTATCCATGTCACCAATGAGATCTCTACTCCAGTACACACAGCTCCCCCCCAGTATCCATGTCACCAATGAGATCTGTACTCCAGTACACACAGCTTACTCTCCAGTATCCATGTCCCCAGTGAGATCTGTACTCCAGTACACACAGCTTCCTCCCCAGTATATTTGTCCCCAGTGAGATCTGTACTCCAGTACACACATCTCCCTCCCCAGTATCCATGTCACCAGTAAAATCTGTACTCCAATACACACAGCTCTCTCCCCAGTATCCATGTCTCCAGTGAGATCTGTACTCCAGTACACATAGCTTCCACCCCAGTATCCATGTCTCCAGTGGGATCTGTACTCCAGTACACATAGCTCCCTCCCCAGTATCCATGTCCCCAGTGAGATCTGTACTCCAGTACACACAGCTCCCTCTCCGGTATCCATGTCCCCAGTGGGATCTGTACTCCAGTACACACATCTCCCTCCCCAGTATCCATGTCCCCAATGGGATCTGTACTCCAGTACAAACAGCTCCCTCCCCAGTATCCATGTCCCCAGTGAGATCTGTACTCCAGCACACAGAGCTCCCTCCCCAGTATCCATGTCCCCAGTGAGATCTGTACTTCAGTACAAACATCTCCCTCCCCAGTATCCATGTCACCAGTGAGATCTGTACTCCAGCACACACAGCTCCCTCCCCAGTATCCATTTCCCCAGTGAGATGTGTACTCCAGCACACAGAGCTCCCTCCCCAGTATCCATGTTCCCAGTAAGATCTGTACTCCAATTTCACACAGCTCCCTCCCCAGTATCCTTGTCACCAGTGAGATCTGTACTCCAGTACAGACAGCTCCCTCCCCAGTATCCATGTCCCCAATGATATCTGTACCCCAGTACACACAGTGCCCTCCCCAGTATCCATGTCCTCAGTGAAATCTGTACTCCAGTACAGACAGCTCCCTCCCCAGTATCCATGTCACCAGTGAGATCTGTACTCCAGTACACACAGCTCCCACCCCAGTATTCATGTCACCAATGAGATCTGTACTCCAGTACATACAGCTCCCTCCCCAGTATCCATGTCCCCAGTGAGATCTGTACTCCAGTACACACAGCTCCCACCCCAGTATTCATGTCCCCAGTGAGATCTGTACTCCAGTACACATATCTTCCCCCCCCCCGTATCCATGTCACCAATGTGATCTGTACTCCAGTACACACAGCTCCCTCCCCAGTATCCATGTCACCAATGAGATCTGTACTCCAGTACACACAGCTCCCACCCCAGTATCCATGTCACCAATGAGATCTGTACTCCAGTACACACAGCTTACTCTCCAGTATCCATGTCCCCAGTGAGATCTGTACTCCAGTACACACAGCTTCCTCCCCAGTATATTTGTCCCCAGTGAGATCTGTACTCCAGTACACACATCTCCCTCCCCTGTATCCATGTCACCAGTAAAATCTGTACTCCAATACACACAGCTCTCTCTCCCCAGTATCCATGTCTCCAGTGAGATCTGTACTCCAGTACACATAGCTTCCACCCCAGTATCCATGTCTCCAGTGGGATCTGTACTCCAGTACACATAGCTCCCTCCCCAGTATCCATGTCCCCAGTGAGATCTGTACTCCAGTACACACAGCTCCCTCTCCGGTATCCATGTCCCCAGTGGGATCTGTACTCCAGTACAAACAGCTCCCTCCCCAGTATCCATGTCCCCAGTGAGATCTGTACTCCAGCACACTCAGCTCCCACCCTAGTATCCATGTCACCAATGAGATCTGTACTCCAGTACACACAGCTTACTCTCCAGTATCCATGTCCCCAGTGAGATCTGTACTCCAGTACACACAGCTTCCTCCCCAGTATCTTTGTCCCCAGTGAGATCTGTACTCCAGTACACACATCTCCCTCCCCAGTATCCATGTCACCAGTGAAATCTGTACTCCAATACACACAGCTCTCTCCCCAGTATCCATGTCTCCAGTGAGATCTGTACTCCAGTACACATAGCTTCCACCCCAGTATCCATGTTTCCAGTGGGATCTGTACTCCAGTACACATAGCTCCCTCCCCAGTATCCATGTCCCCAGTGAGATCTGTACTCCAGTACACACAGCTCCCTCTCCGGTATCCATGTCCCCAGTGGGATCTGTACTCCAGTACACACATCTCCCTCCCCAGTATCCATGTCCCCAATGGGATCTGTACTCCAGTACAAACAGCTCCCTCCCCAGTATCCATGTCCCAGTGAGATCTGTACTCCAGCACACAGAGCTCCCTCCCCAGTATCCATGTCCCCAGTGAGATCTGTACTTCAGTACAAACATCTCCCTCCCCAGTATCCATGTCACCAGTGAGATCTGTACTCCAGCACACACAGCTCCCTCCCCAGTATCCATTTCTCCAGTGAGATGTGTACTCCAGCACACAGAGCTCCCTCCCCAGTATCCATGTTCCCAGTAAGATCTGTACTCCAATTCACACAGCTCCCTCCCC